AACAATTTCATTTGCGTAAATGGAAATATCACGTCTCTTCTCTTTACTGAAACAAATTTACATACTCGACTTACGAAACTGACAGTGACAAATAAATCCCGCAGCCTAGGAATAACTCGGCGTCGCGAAACCAACAACTGTAAAAGAAGGGAAGCCTCGCGCGATGATTTAGCAGGATTCTCTCCTGAGTTTAATAAACAGCCGTAACGTTCCCCGGATTACTATAATTAACAAGGTATCGCTGCTGAAGTAACGAGTTATAATTAACCGATTTAACGAGTTTTAATTAGCAATTATGAATTCAATTAGTTCGCACCTGTTCTATCCAGTTGCCAGAAAGTTTTGATCAGAATTACCAGCAGTAGAGACCTAGTCCATAATGTGATGGAGAATTATGTATCTAGAATGTAGAATTGGATTGCAGCTACTCTTATATGACAACCATGTTCAGTATTGGAGTTATATCTCTTGAGCCGTGGGGACTGCTTCAAAGTTTTCCTCTTTTTTCTTCACTCGCTGTCTTTCTCATTCGACTGAATTCACTGAGCTCAAGTTGAAATAGTTATTCATTTGCAGGTAAATTTAGAGAGCGGATCGATTAAAAATACATTGTTATTTCAAGACACACATTAACTTCTCAAGTTTTCATTTTCAAAAAATTGTTTTCATAAACACGCACACATATATATCTTTTTAAAACATTGTTTTCATGCACGTATACGACATTTGGTTTATAATTTTTACAGTGTATTTCAAATTCGAATTCTCTAAGGAATTAAAAAGAATGACAATTAATCTGATTCTCCTACACTAGTATTACAACTAACAATCGTAGTTCTGATCGAGTTACAGTACTGATCATGCCTTTGTGTTTGTCATTTCGTCAAACCTCAACGAGCATTGCATCCCTTTCTTTCCTTCTCCAGTTAAATCTGATATCTTTAGACGCGTGGAACGGGGCGAGGTACCTTGCGGTTTTCCTTTGGTAGAAAGAATGGGTGTTGAACCTCACGGGACGCGGCCTACATGCGCTATACTATCCAAATGTAATAAGATTGGCTGATTTTTCCAGCTCTAATATTGTTCAAAATCTAACTTTCTTATTCTCTTTCAACACTCTTTTGCTATTTTTTTATAATCTACATCATGTATTTCTTTCTTCAACAAAAGGTTTAGAAAAGAAAACATTAAATTACATTGTTTATGACAACTACATTTGTGTATTGATAAGGAGAATTAAATTTATTTATTATATGCTTTACTTCATACATCAATATGCAGTACATTTTTCTATTTTATTGAGCATAATGAAATGCATAAAACACAATTTAATTAAAATATGAGTAATATACATAAAACAAAAGTGACGTAGCATAAATTAAATAGTAATGCTAGCCTTTCGGGTATTTTATTCTCTACAATGTCAAGCGGAACAGTGCAAAGTGGAAATTGCGTATCCTCTGCGAGCTCATCGTATGCAATCAAATCGCTTATTATTCGAGCCGGTCACGTTGTTACGTACACACTTACTCACGTTTTCTTCACCGACGCCACCTGCGTCGCTGATGCGTGCGATCCACGTCTTCGAGTTTCCGTTCGCTTACGCTAATTGCCGTTGGCTAACAAGGAAGAACGGGCTGAGACGTTAGGGTTGCTCCCTTTACGGCTTCTTATGAGAAATTTGTTTTACACGAATTTGCATAGATAACGGTACTCGGGTTCCCATGGGAAGTCCCGAATCGTAAGGCCGGGTACTCACTTGTGCAACATCGGCTGCGCAGCGAATGCACGGTCGCGCACAGCCAAAACGCGTACTCACTAGGCCTGTGCGCGGTTCGAACGACCCTTGAGGCACTTAAAAAAGGTCGATTTTTATGACCAGGCGAGCACTGAACACGTTGCGCGGTTCGTCCATGCCACGCGCACTGGCAAGCCGCGCACGCGAATGCTCGCGCGCATTTTTCCCAATTCCCAAAGGAAAGTTCTCCTTTTGCACGTTTTAATGATTTCCTATGCAAAATACGTTAATGGGGATATATGTGAAAAGTGTCCTCTTTCGTTTTTTTATGAAAGAAGATGATTTTGTACATTATTTCAGTCTAGTTAAGCAATAACATGCCTAATTAAATATATTGTTTCACTATTATTGTCAATATGATTCTGTGTTAATTATTTTACCTTTATGAAAATAAATAAGTACATACATAGTAAGTGTAGTTATTATTTTTTATGTATGTACCTGAGAACTACCTGGGTATCCCACCATACAATCGGGAGTTATTTTGCGACGAGTGTTGCTTTTTACGACATTTTCCCTTCCCTTTTCCCTCACAAACAGGTAGGAAACGTACGAATATATAAACTGATGCGTCCTCGGAATATTCACTATTTCTGAAGAGTTCGAACAGTGAACATCGACACAAGACGAAATTGAGAATTATGGAATTTACCAACAAAACTGTGATTCATCTCATCGAGGCATACCGCGATAAGCCACAATTGGGGCAACCAACGCATGCCGATTATCATCTCAAAGAAAAAAAATTTGACGCTTGATGCAAAATTACAGAGGATTTCGGCTGTAGTATAGACGGAGTTTTTCACACTACCTGCTACCTCGGAGATAAGTACGGGGGATCGGTAGCCGAAACTGCCTGTTTACGCTCCCGGAAACATTGTCAAAGATAGGACACTACAGGGGAGCGTATTTCCTTTCCTCGTTCTTCTTTTACTTTTCTTGTCTTTGTCACAGCGCGCACGAGCATTCGCCTGCGCGGCTTGACGGTGCGTCAGGTCCTTGGGTGCGCGGAAGATCGTAAAAATGACCCTTTCAAGTGGATTTGCGCCCGTGCGCGGCCGCGCCGTTGCACAAGTGAGTACCCGGCCTAAGGATTTTCAAACGATACACACAGTTCTCTACTTGTTGCGCGTCTGTTTCAGATTTCAACGGGTCTTCATTGTAGGTGTTATCACGTTTTATTGTTCCGGTGTTTCCATTTTTAATTTTTAGACAGGTAGTTTATATGTTACAGTGACGTGGATAAAAGAATAGGATATCGTTTGTTTAATTATGTATATATAATATAGATTTAATAGGCTACATTTTTAGAAATGTACTCATGGGTCATAGAGTTCATGTATGATAAGCTAGGAGAAACTATTCAATATGTAAACGGTTAGTTACGCTCGAAATAGTGTTAGAGTTTCGAAGTAGTTGCACGATTCGATTACTAGCAATAAATTTTAATGTATTCTGTATGGAGTGCTTAATCAATCTTATATGAACGTTATTAAATAGCACGTGCACAGTATTTGATACATATTCCGTAGCAAACGCTTCGCTCTAGCTTCCATAATGAATGCTCGCTTTGTGGGACGATATCGTTGCTGCTTTCTTTCAAATATTCATCAACGGGAATCAGTTTACACTTTTTTTATTTTAGATGCTGCCAGAAAGTGATTAACACGTTGAATGCCACGGGGGTCACCGGTGACCGGCACTCAACTTGGCAGTGACGCCATGGGGGCTACCGGTGACCGGCGCGCCTAGATTGATAGAAATATATAT